AGAAGAGACGAGAACACGATCAGGATTCTTCTGCAGTAAGGCTTTATTGCATCTCGACAGGCAGTGCAAAGTCCTCAGGCGAAACCAGAGAGCCGACCCCAACCCGAGGCCCATGATTGCTTATATAGAAAATTGTCCTCGCCTAGTACGTGGCAACTGATTATTGGATCACCTGATCTGAGCGCCCTCGGCCCGAGGATGAGGGGAAATCCAGAGCATGCTCAGTTTGGTTGTTTACTACTGTCATAGCCGGATGTCGGCGCCATCTTTATCAAGGCCTTTGTCCCAGGCTGCTCCCCATAATTCACAATCTCACAAACACTCTAATATGCCAACAAGAGAGCTCAGCCCAAGAAAGGCAAAGAAATTTCAAACCTCACATCCTGCCAGGGAAGCCTGAAAGCTAGCTATGGGTGAGTGCTGCATGGAGTTTTTTGGGAATGAAGAGGCATGCAAGCTTACCCATGAACATTCTAGTTAATGGAGACAACAAGGCCTGGGTGTTAGGAGGAAAGCAATCTGACAGTAACTTGTAGAGAAGCTCGAGACAAAGAATTTGTGATGATTAATACTGATTACTAGCTTGACAGTATTTAGAATTATCTAAGAGACAAACCTTTGGGCATATTGTGAATGAGACTCTAGATTGGGTTAATTGAAGGGGGAAGACTCACCTACCCAGCCTAAATATGTGCAGCACCATTCCATAGACTGGGGTCCTGAGCTGAATTCAAACAAGGAAGTGAGGTGGGCAGTAGGACTCTGGTTTTAGCTTTCTGACTATAGACACAGTGTAACCAGCTGCCCCAACTTTCTCCTGCCACGCCTTCCCTGAAATGAAAGTCACAATAACGCCTTCCTTCTTCACATTGCTTCTTGCTGGGTATTTGATCACAGCAATGAGGAAAGTACCTAATACATGGCATAATGGCTTTATCAAGATAATCAAAAAACTCCCTCAGAATGGCTTATGGGGCTTTCCACCAAGCCTGGTGACCTTAGTTTGATTCCTCAGGACCCACATGGTAGCAGGAGAGAGCTGACTCCCACGGGTTGTCCTTGACCTCCACAAGCATACTTTGGCGCGCGCGCGCACACACACACACACACACACACACACACACACACATACACACACAAATGTAATTAAAAACTAAGCAAAAAGAACTACTTGAGAAAATCAGCACAGGTTCCACGCTTTATCGAATGAGTAAGGTAGAAGAGAGCTGTTTTCAAATATGGGAGGTAAAGAAGGAAACAAATGTGAGTAGCCCATGTGTAGGAATGTGATTAGAGGAAAAGCTGTTCACCAAGCAATACTACATGGTGCTTTGTGGCCTGTAAAGAACCTCCACCTTAGGATAGGCTTAGTGTGAGGCACACAGCCTGTACTCCAGGTTCACAAATGCAGCTGCTCAGCCAGAGCCCCAAGTGTAGTCCCTCACACAACTTTCTGCCTCTCACCTATACACACATTTGGGTCACACATCCCTACAGCCTTCTCTTACATCCCATCCTCCACACTCAGCTACCCCAGACCCCACTGCCTTTCCTAACCCCCACCCTCTCAAAACCATGTTACATGTTCCCTTCCCCTTCTCTAAACAAGGTTTATTTTCTGTTCTCATACTCGCTCTCTCTAACATGCTTCTTAGACTGAAGGCCTTAACCCATCTTCCTAATCTCACCATTCTCAAGGCGATTCCTGTTTATACTCTGCTGTTCTCCATCTCCGATGGGTCACTGGGCATCCCTGATTTTCTTGGGAGCCTTTTGTCCTCTCCTACTCCATCACCTTCTCTGTGCATTTCTCTCTCCACCTTGTACTGTCTTTTACTTTATTGCCTCTCTCTAGCTTCTTGTCTGCCTTTGCTACTTGTTTCCCTTCTAGGATCACGAACAGAAAGCCAGTTGGGTAAAATAAGAAAAAATATGGTCACCATTAAGGTCACTACTTCTTTTTATGTAAAATTAATTTATTGAATGGAATTATTTTGCCCTTAGGGAATAAGATCACCATTTAATTTAATTTCCCCATCATGTCATCTTATTTGCAGAGGAACAAAAAGTTTATTCATTCATTTATTTATATTTTATGTGAAAGAATGTTTTGCCTGCATGGATATAAATGCACTCATGTGTGCAATGCCTGCAGAGATCAAAAGAGGACATTGGATCTCCTAGAACTGGAGTTACTGATCTGCCATGTGTGCTGGGAACTGAACCTGGGTCTTCTGCAAGAGCAGCCAGTGCTCTTAACTGCTGAGCAGTCTCTCCAGTCCCTAACTTTTTAGCAGAACACATGCATTATGCTGAATGGCATACTTCAATGATTACAGGTTTTACCTGCTCTAGATCACCAGTTATTATAACAACATGCTAAATTATGCAGTAACTATTTCTTGTAGAATTCAAGAAATCAATACTGATTTAGATATTTATTTGCAAGAGAGTATTAGGAGGACTTGAAACATTTATAAGACGTTTTCTTTACTTACACTTTTCAAAAGCAAGCAAATTCATTATGAAATATCCTATACAAAGTAAAAACAAAACCCACCTCAAAATCAACTATGTCCCAGCTACTAATGACATTCTCAGTGTTTGCCCAAAGGCACAACTACACTCTACCAGAGTTCAAAACACACATGTGTTTAGGTTCTAAGAAAACAAAGACCCAAAGGCCAAAGTACCCAAAGAACCAGAATTTACTTATCAAAAAGAACGCTGCAGAGATGCCAGCACAAAGGTGGGGTCTTAAGGAAAACTATTGTTTGATAAAAGAAACACAAAGCCTCCTTCTGAGTCCTGTTCCCAGAGGACATTTCTTCACATTCAGCTAAGTGAGGCAGCACCCTAGAAAGTTTTCTTTGGTGTAAAGGTCTAGAAAAATAAAGAAGCCATGCTGGTTATAGTGTGAAATCCGCAGACTTCCCTCCTCTCTCTGCATATTCTGTTTAAGTAGCATTGTGTCAAGAAAAAAAACAATCTTTCCCTTTTCTCCTCAAAATGAAAAGTTGGTATTCATTCAACCAGTCCACTATTTCTTAAATGTCTGCCTTAGCCTTACAGTGCTGTGACAAAATTCCAGAAGGCCTGTTTCATCTAATTCCTCCCAAATGCTCTGGAACCTGCAGAGGGTATTAGGCCTATGATGGCAATGTCTCTTTGTTCCCCACTGGTATCTACTGTTGCGTCCTCTGCTGTCTACCTTGATTGGACCAGTGGGTGTGCTGCTGGGGTCTACAAGACTTGCCATTGCTCCTACCCAAGGCCAGGCTGCCAATGACAAATGTGAAAGAGGGCTAGGGCATGTCATTTGCACTGAAGCCAACACACGTGCTGCTCACATCTTAGACCTTCAACATCTCATCATCCCTTTCAGTTTATCTCCTTGCTATCTTCACTGACTCATTAACCTGCTTTTCTCTTATTATTGACTAAAGGTTTTAGAAGGTGAGCTGCCAGTCCTTTGGTAATATATTAATGAAAGTTTGCTTAACATGAAATAATGGTGGATATTTATAATCAAATATCTGGGTCAAATCTCTATAAAGAATAAATGATAGTTCATTCCACTGACAGGTATAAAGATTTCTGTTTAATTAGTTTTCATTCACTTAAGTATTAGAAAGAGCATTCCAGGTGAGAGGTACCTTTATACCATCTGAAAGATTGATGTATTTCCTGTTCTAATACTTTCACCTCTTCTCTTTAATGGTTCACTTCTGACTGCTATTCATTAAAGCTGCCTGTGGTTTAATTATAAATCAATATTCTTCTGTATAAAGATAGAGACAACACCCACTATGGGGCTTCTCCTGCATTCTTTACTCTTGTGGGTAACATTGTGGCCCCTAGAAAGATATGCTCAAGTCCTAACTCTAGTATGTCAGAACATGACCTTACTGGAAGTAGAATCACTGCAGATGTCATGAATGACAATGAAGTCATTAGTCAAATGTGACTAGTATGAAAGAGAAAATTTGTCAGGGATATTAAGTCAAGTGGACCATATGAGGACTGAGACAGACATCGGAATTTTTCTCCCATAGGCCAAAGAACCTTTAGTTCTATCTGAAGCTGAAAGAAGCAAGAATAGGTCTGTCCCTGGAGGCTTTGGAAGGAACGTGGCCTGGCGACACCTTAATTTCAGACATATTGCTCCAAAACTACAAGAAAATTAATTTCTGTTGAGTCACCAAGTTTGTGATACTCAGTTAGGGCAGGCCTAACAACCCAACAACCGAGGAATAATTTTGCCAGTGATT